CTCCTATCATTAAGATCTATTGATTCCTCTTCAGAAAGAATTTTCAGATCTGATTAGTATCCACTCATTACCTCTCAATGTTACCTCTGCCACTTCCTTGCACACGTAAGATTGGGCAACCTACTTCCTTAAAGAGTTACTGTCTCAGAAACCCAAAGGAAGTCCCTATGAGTTGAAATCAACTTGATGGCTGTTGTTGTTATGTGCCGTCGAGTTGGACCCGACTCATAGACCCCTTCTTGGGTTTCAGAGGCAGTATCACTACAGAAATAGATTGCCCCATCTTCCATCCAAGGAGTGGCTGGTGGGTTTGAACTGACAGCCTTCTGGTTAGCAGTCAAGTGCCTTAGGCACTACGCTACCAGAGCTCCTACTTGATAGCAGTGAGGTTCCCCCCCCCCCCGTCACTTCCTTAATGCGGGCCTCATTTTGTTCACCTGAACTATTTTTAATATTTAAAAAAATATTTTTTTTCTGGTGGTCCTCCATCTCTAGCCATTGTCCCAGCTGACTACAATCAATTCTCTATATTTCTTTATAACAAGGACATGATTATGCCGTTTTTATGCTACAAAATCATTAAAAGAGTTGAACACAGAGTCAATTTCTTAGTACAATATTTGGTGGGTTTCACAATCTGGATGCAATTTAGTTTTCCAGTTTCATCCACAAATACTTCTACCATTTCCCACAATAGGTAAGAGATTTTCAATATTAATTTCACAGACTTAGAGAAAAGACAACACAGGCACACATATGAAGAGGTAGATTTCTAACATGATGTTGCAAACATTTTATTTATTCCGAATTAAAAATTACCAGTTAATATCATCATCATTTCATCATTTTATTTATTTGAATTAATTACAAGTATAAAAACACTTCACATTGTACTGTTATATTTTTCATTCATCATTGTAGCAATAATACTTTCTCATAGATTGGCAACAGTATATATAACAATGACAGATACTTGGGAATCACTACACTACATTACTCACCATTCCTTGAACAGGCCTATAGTAATTACAAGAATGCCTGAGAATTCAGACCCTCATGTTAGTTAAGATCCTAGCAGGAAACACAGGCACAATGAGCAGCGATTTTAAAGACAATAGAGCGTTATTTATAAAAGTATGGGCAGATACAAGGCAATCAACAAAGGCATGTTAGGGCATCCTGGGATTAACAACAGCAGGAAGCCCCCAGGACTGAAGAGAGATAAAGGTGTAACTAGAGTCCTCAGAAGGAAGGTTGGGCAATCCTACTTCCGTAGTGATACTGCCTCGGAAACCCAAGGAGGGGTGGCTATGAGTAGGGGCCGACTCAACGGCAAATAACAACAACAACAACAGAGCCTCAGGTAGACCCTATGTTGTTGTTGTTGTTATGTGCTATCTAGTCGGCCCTGACTCATAGCGACCCCTCCTTGGGTTTCCGAGGCAGTATCACTACGAAAGTAGATTGCCCCATCTTCCTTTGAGGAGTGCCTGGTGGGTTTGAACTGCCAGCCTTCTGGTTAGCAGTCAAGTGCCTTAGGCACTATACTACCAGAGCTCCCTATAGGGCCCATGTATCCTCAAATGGAACTGATGTTAGAGAGAATAAACCAGAATTCTGGCACTAGGTTTTGGATGGATAGTAAGAAACTGTCACACTATCCACCGTAGCATTTCATATTTATTATCTCATTTAATCTTTACCAGAGTTCTATAAAGGAGCTCTGGTGGCAGTAGTGCCTAAGGTATTTGACCGCTAACCAGAAAGCTGGAGGTTCAAACCCACCAGCCACTCCTTGGAAGGAAGATTGGGCAATCTACTTTAGTGATACTGTCTCAGAAACCCAAGGAGGGGTCACTATGAGTTGGATCTGACTCAAGGGCAGTGAGTTTGTTTCTTTTTTTGTGGGGGGTTTAGGGTTCTATAAAATAGATTGTTTTGGAAAGCCTCTTTCTCTGATCCTTGGTTGCTTATGTTACTTGACTCCCATGGTTTGAATGCCATCATATTTTATTAATGATCCTGATACTTGGCCTGCCAACCTCTGTCCTAATTTACATCTTTATGGATCATACCCCAAGAGATGGGAGATTGGTCTGCTATTCATAGTACATCTTACGTACATCCATGCTCTTATGTTTTATCTTGTGTTATTGTTCCCACTTGTATTTTCCTTTACCCCATGACTGTTCAAACCCTTTAAGGCCTAACCTTAGTATCAGCCCTTTGTAAAGCCTGTTTCTTAGTTATCTAGTGCTGCCATAACAGAAAATACCACAAGTAGGTGGATTTAAAGAACAGAAATGTATTTTCTAATTGTTCAGGTAGTTCGAAGTCCAAATATAGGGTGTGACTTTGGAGGGAGGTGCTTGTGTATTTTAAGTAGCTGCAGGCAATCCTTGGAATTCTTGGTACACTAGATGCATCTGCCTCGGTCTTCATAAAGTGCCTTCCTGCCGTGTGTGTCTCTGTGATCTGCTATTTTTATGATTAAGAAGTGATTAGATTTAGTACTCACCTTCCTCTGGTATACTTACATTAACATAACAAAAGAAAATTCAATTTCCAAAAATGATTACTTCCACAAGTATAGAAGCCAGAACTTCAATATATATTTTGTGGGACACAATTCAATGCACACCTTCTCAGGATTATCTTGTCAGAATTTATTTATATGTGAAATCTTGTAATAGCATTCTTACAGTTTTTAGATGTAAAATCTAATTTGCCGTATCAAAAAAAAAAAAAACTGCCGTCGAGTCATTTCCAACTCATAGCAACCCCTCCTTCGGTTTCCGAGGTGGTATCACTATGGAAGTAGATTGCCCAATCTTTCTTCCAGAGTGGCTGGTGGGTTGAAGCAACAGGCTTCTGGTTAGTAGTCAAATGCCTTAGGCACTATGCCACCAGAGCTCCCTTATAGTAAAGTGCATTACAGTAAAGTGTTTTTGTGCCTCTCACCACCTTTGCTACAAGACTGTCCCTTTCTTGAAGTGAGGGACCCTGTTATAATCATCTTTCAGTATCTGTTATCTTATTGCTAGTAAGAGCTTCATTAATTTTCCTTCTTCTTCTTCTTCTTTTTTTTTTTTTTTAATAAACAGAACATGTAGGAGATGTTCTAATGCCTAAGTTATTCTTTCTTCTGAAGAGGAAAACTTCATAGATATTTAATCTGTTTATATAATAAAAGTAGGCTAATCAGATATATATCTGCATTTATATAATGATCAAGCAAGATTTAAAGATAAAATAAAATTTTAAATAGATAAGGAAAGCAGGAAGATATGAAGCAAAAGTTAATATGCACAGTTTTTTGACATATGCCCTTACCCTCATCCTGGACTGAAGGCAGCGTTACTGAATTTGTTTCACCTCCATGAATGGGACCTGCTCCCTCAACTCAGATGGCTGCAAACTAATTGATCCCTTGTCCTTAAAAGATTTTCTCAATACTCATCCTTCAGCTTGCAGTTCAAAAGTCAATTTCTTAAAGAGGCCTTCCCTCACCCCTAAGAGTTGGTGACCCTCTCCTATCACATTTGGAATTACTTTAGTGTCTCTTGTAATTTATTAGGAGCTCTGGTGGTGTAGTGCCTAAGGCTCTTGACTTCAAACCCACCAGCCACTCCTCAGAAGGAAGGTTGGGCAATCTACTTCTGTAGTGATACTGCCTTGGAAACCCAAGAAGGGGTCACTATGAGTTCGATCTGACTCAGTGGCAGTGAGTTAGTAGAATATAGTCAAATATTTAGTTTGCTGCTAAATGCCATTTGATTCAATAGTTATTTTTGTATGATGGGCTCAGGTATAGCAAGGATTATGAGGCTGGCACAGGATGGTGCTGTGTTTTATTCTGTTAAACAGAGTCGCTATGAGCCAGAGCCAACTCCACGGCACCTAACAACATTTGGACTCTGATGTCACAAAAATAAAATGGTAATGTAATTTTGAAATAGGAGCTCTGGTGGTATAGCACTTAAGGCATTTTGACTGCTAACCAGAGGGCTGGTGGTTCAAACCCACCAGCCACTCCTCGGAAGGAAGACTGGGCAATCTAATTCTGTAGAGATACCGCCTTGGAAACCCAAGGAGAGGTCTCTATGAGTCAGATCCCACTCGATGGCTGTGAGTTTGGAGAGTTTTTATTTTGAAATAAAATGCTTAAGACCCTTTACAATTTTTAATAAAATTCCTTATCTTTAAGATCTATTGTTTTAATAAATTCCATTCTACCGAGAGGTCCAGAATTTAGCTTTTGGACTGCCATTAATAGGTCAGTATATTTTTTAGCAAATTGAACTTAAAATTTAATAAAGTGCTCTAACACTTTAGACACATCTCTGTTGTTATCTAGTTATGTGAAACATCAACACAAACCCTTCTTTTAGGTAAAGTTCAGAAAACGTCTACTACATTTATTTCACAAAGCGAAAATAAGCGCTGAGACGTTTATAAGTAGCAGTATCTAGTACTTAACTCCGAGGAATTCTCGTTATACATGTATCGACGCTCAATTCAGAGCTTTGTCAAGGTCAGTAGCAAAAGTATAACTTTTCAGACTCTCTAGTTTAAGGGTGGTGTAGTGGTTCTCGTGGCGTAGTGCCTAAGGCATTGAACTGCTAATCAGAAGGCTGGCGGTTCAAACCCACTAGCCGCTCCTGGGAAGGCAGGTTGGGCAATCTACTTCCGTAGATTGATACTGCCTCGCAAACCCAAGGCGGGGTCGCTATGAGTCGGGTCCGACTCCACGACAACAACAACAAACCCTATGGAACCCTATAGGGCAATCCTACTTTGCCCTAAAAAAGGCTATAAATCGGAATCCACTCTACGGCAGTGGGGTTTTTTCAGCCAAGGAACACGTGAGCCGCGGTCAATGACCGCGACTTTGTCCAATAGCATTGCAGAGAGGCGTATCCTCTCACGGACGCTCCAATAGGCCCATAGAGAGTCGCGCTATCCAGAGCGAAAGCGGAAGTGAGCCTTTGGAGCGCCACATGGAGCGGCTGCTGCAGCATCTGGAGCGTTTCTCAGAGGTTTTGGAGGTCTCCCGCTCGACCTACGTTAGCACTTGGGAACCCGCTACCGTGCGTCGGGCCTTACAGTGGGCTTCCTACCTGCGCCACATCCACCGCCGCTTCGGCCGCCATGGCCGCATCCGCACGGCTTTGGAGCGGCGACTGCACAATCAATGGAGGCAAAAGGGCAGCTCTGGGCCGGGTCCAGGCTCCGGACTGATAAACTTCCGATCTCTAGGGCACTGTGACGTTCTGCTAGCTGTAAGTCTGCTGGAGAATCGGGCCCTCGGGGATGCCGCCTATCACCACCTGCTGCAGCAGCTCTTTCCGGGCCCCGGCGTACCGGATACCGACGAGGAGACGCTCCAGAACAGCCTGGTTAGCCTAGCCCGCCTCCGGTCGGCTGTCCATATATTGCGCCTCTATGCCTACCGAGAGAACCCGGAAGTACAGAAGGACCCGCTGGTGAAGACGCAGGCAGAGCTGCTGCTGGAGCATCTGCAGGACGTGGGGAAGGCCGAAGCGGAGGGCCCCAGTAGGTTTCTTAACAGCCTGTGGGAGCGTTTGCCTCAGAACAACTTCCTGAAAGTGCTGGCTGCAGCGCTGCTGCTACCATCGTCGTCCACCCGACCCCAAGAAGAGGGGTTGGAACTGAGCAGCCCCGAAACACCCGGAGAGGGGAGGCAAGAACTGGTCCGTTGGCTTCTAGGAAAGTCGAACATCATGAGTGTCTTTTGTCGCAACCTCCCAGCCGGCCTTTTAGCGTCAGTGGTAGGCCGCCACCCAGCGCTCTTTCGGGTCTATCTAGGTTTGCTAACAGACTGGGGTCGACATCTGCACTATGACCTACAGAAAGGCAGTTGGATTGGAGCAGAGCCCCAGGACTTGCCCTGGGAGGAGTTGTACAACAGGTTTCAAAGCCTCTACCAGGCTCCTCCACCTCTGAAAGATGAAGTTCTAACTTCTCTGGCGTCTTGTAAGGCGCAGGATGGAGATTTCGAAGTCCCTGGGCTTAGCATCTGGACAGATCTGTTGGTAGCTCTTGGTAATGGCACATGATACTGCATTGGGGAAAAGCCAAGTTCTAGGTCTCAGCCCAGGCCCCAGCTCTCTATGGGCAACGTTCTGTTGTTACTTGCTCTCTTGAATATATTATTTACAAAATTAAAGTTTCTGTGTTCTCAAATCTCCACCTTCATGTGTCAAAAATATAATAATTATTAGTGATGCTAGTTTCCAGTGGTTCATTGTCCAGTTACAAATAATGTAAAGTAATTGGCTTATAGTGACATGTTTTTTTCTGGGTACAGGAAGTGACATTTTGAAAGTATGGCACCATGGAACTAACAATGACTTAGAAGGCCACATTCTAAGGATACTGAAAAAATACTATTCAAAGAAACTATAGCTTTAAAAAATAAAAGGAAGAAAAGACACTATCAGTTTAGTTTTATCAGTAGTAAGGGTTTCTCTTTAGCCAACATGTGTCCTCCTACATGTCAGTTCAAAAAGCTGACTGTCCTATTTGGAGTTTAAGCCCTGGACCCTGGCCTTGCTAACCTGGTTGGTATTCTAATCAGTTAACCAATATCAACATGTATTAAAATTCTATTATTCAGAAAGTTTATTTCATTTTTGTTAGTCACTATGTGTGAAAATCCAAACTAATTTAAAGCATTGATTCAAAGACAAACTGGATGACATTAAAAAAAAGCTATAGTATGTAAAATATAAATATGCCTTTGGATATTAATTTAGCTTTTGATGGTAAAAGAATCAAACTTCTGAATCAGAAGACCCAGGTTTTAGTGATACTTCTGTCTTTAAGCAGATTGCTAAATCAAAACCTTGATGATACTGTTGCCTTGTATCTTAAGGATTTATACTGAAATAGTTATATACCCTATTGTCCCTTTGGTAGTTACCCTATTGGGACAGTAAAATTTTTCTTTAATGTGTGTAGAAACTTAATTTACCCAGAAGCCTAGAAATTGACAGAGTGATTCCTAATCACTAAACTTGGGAGGGATTTATTCATTTTTATTAGGAGGATGTAACTGTTTAGAAGTTACAATACTTTTATCCCATAACCCGGTAGCTGGTAATTAGAGTCCTTGGAAAATGAATTGCTATCCAACAAGCTCATTAGTGAGAATAGAATTAGAGCTGAAGGCGCTATATAGTAGAATTTTTTGTTTTGGGTAGAACCTTAGGTAAACTGCTTTTCCACTACCAAGCACACTTTTCTAGGTGGTCTTGGGTTAATCTAGAATGTTCTTGTTTCCAGTGGTCCAGTTCTTTTTTTAGTTCTGTTCCATGTACACCATCTTTTAGATTGCATTTACTACAAATGCAAGAAGAAGGGATTCCTTCTCTCAGTTAAAGGAAAGTCAGGAAAAGTAGCCCAATCAAGACTTCTACCTGGGGAAAATCTTAATACTAGCATTGATTTCAGAGAATGATGGTTTCTGAACTGTGCCTATGTCTGCATATATATGTGAGAGCATGATTTAAGTTGAAATGATAAAGATGGGTAGAGAATATTTTAAAATCCCTACTGATACTTAAGTTCATATTTTATTCTCTATGCTATATTCATTACATACATAATTTTATAAAATCTTCATACCAAGATGGTATTTTACAATAAGGGTTTAGGCTAAGAGAGATTAAGTAAAATTAAGGGCACACAGAAAATAAAGAATATGAAAATGGAGACCATGTCTGTCATTTATTTTGTTCCCTAGAGCCTATGACAGGAGCTCTGGGAGCACAGTGCCTAAGTCACTTGACTGCTAACCAGAAGGCTGGCGGTTCAAACGTACCAGCCACTCATTGGAAGGAAGGTTGGGCAATCTACTTCCATAGTGATACTGCCTCGGAAACCCAAGGAGGGGTCACTGTGAGTCGGGTCTGAATCCAAGGCGCACAATAACAACAACAGAGCCTATGACAGTGTCTAGCATGTGATGGGTATTCCAAATGTTTGAATAAATGAAGCTAGGATTAGAACCCCAGATCTTGCTATGTTCAGTTATAAATAAGATTATACCAAAAAGTCAGTTGCCATAATGTCAATTCCAGTTTATAACAATGCCATGTGTTGTACAATAGAACTATGCTCCCTAGAGTTTCCAAGGCTGTGATCTTTACAAAGTAGATCTGAGGGCTTTCTCATGAGGTACCTCTGGAGGGTTTCAGCTGCCACCCTTTCCTTTAGTGATGGAGCACTTAACTGTTCGCACCACCCAGGGACTCCTGCAAACAAAGGATGGGCTTGAAAAGATTGCACTACATTTAGTAAGTATAGGACCAGACAGGAAAACGAGAGAAAGGAATACAACCTTTAATAAGTAAATTCCAGTTTCTTATGAGCCAGTGCATAAACGACTGCATATCTATTGTTTCCTGTTAGTATTATTTTGAAGACAAATATCTCATTCTCAGCTAGAATTTCTCCTGGGCTGCCTGTATATTTACTATTAGACTATTTAGATCTAAGTGCTGTTGTCTGCATTAGCTACTATTAGGTGCAATTCAAGGTTTTAATTCTAATGGAAAATTGGGAAGAATTGATTTTTAATGAATAAATAAACCTTTCATTTGTATTGTGCTATATGTTTTGCAGTTTCTGCATTGCGCCATCTTAGGAAAACCAATCAATTTAAAAATAGGGTAATGTGTTATTTTAATTAATAAAGGAAATGAGACTGTGGGTAGTATTTGTCTAACATCGTGTAGTTCTTAGGTGGTCAAGCCAAGAAGGATCCAGATCTTTTCTGACTTAATTTCTTTCTACATGTTTTTTTTTTTTTTTTTTTTCTGTAGCCTGTATTTCCAGTCTGTAAATGGGAATAAATCTTTAAAGGGCCTTGAAATTATGTATCAGAATTATTTTTTTCAGGAGAGATATGTAGGCCTCAGTGTTAAGAATGTTAGAAAAGTATATGCTTTTCTTTTTTTTTTTAGGAAACTAGGTTGGTGGTTTGTAAAACAATATTAGATTGTGTACCCAAACTTACACAATTTGTGTACTCAAAGTTATCATGAGGCCTGGTGTATGGGAGACATTATATTTGTTCAATATCATTTAAATTGGGGGTATATCTACCAGAATGACTTTTACCAAGTTATTTCATTCTCTAAATCATAGTTTATTCATATATAAAATGGAATAATTCTATTTTTTCTACCCACTTAGCATGATTAAATATTAAAATGATAGTGTATATGAAGATGTCAGAAGTTATCAACAGGCAGACTCACATATTGGAGCTCTGATAGCATAGTGCCTAGGGCATTTGACTGCTAACCAGAAAGCTGATGGTTCAAACCCACCAGCCACTCCTCAGAAGGAAGGTTGCACAATCTACTTCCATAGTGATACTGCCTCAACAGGCAGACTCACATAAATTCTCTTTTAAATTGATAAACATTAAATAAATGTAAAAATATGGCCCAATCTAATTGAATTCATCAGTATTTATGGAAAGCAATCATACAGAAATAAAACTCATTAAGAATCAGTCATTAAGTTTAAACTAAAACAAGATTATTGTTGTTAGGTGCCCTGGAGCCATAGCAACCCCTTGTACAAAAGAACGAAACATTAGCCAGTCCTGCACCTTCCTCAGTAGTTCTTATGCTTGACCTTATTGTTGCAGCCACTGTGTCAATCCATCTTACTGAGGGCCTTCCTCTTTTTTGGTGACCCTCTACTTTACCAAGCAAGATATCCTTTTCCAAGGACTGGCCCCTCCTGACAATATGACCAAAGTACGAGAGATGAAGTCTTTAGAAAGATGGTAGAGAATATTTGTGTTCAGTATTCATCAACACTGCAATTCAAATGAATCAATTATTCTTAGGTCATCCTTATTCTTTCTTATTGTCCAGCTTTCACATACATATTCCAAATTCACTGCCATCAAGTCGATTCGAACTCATAGCGACCCCCTTTGGGTTCCCAAGACAGTAAATCTTTATGGAAGTAGATTGCCCCATCTTCATTCTGTGGGGTGCCTGGAGGGTTTGAACCACCAAACTTCTGGTTAGCAGTCAAAATGCCTTAGGCATTATGCCATACATATTAGGCTATTGAAAATACCATGGCTTGGGTCAGCCATGACCCAACCAAACCACTTAGTAGTTTTGAAAGTGACATTTTTGCTCTAACACTTGAAGAGGTCTTTTGCAGAATTGCTGAATGCAATATATCCGTTGATTTCTTGATTGCTGCTTCAATTGGTGTTGACTGTGGATCCAAATAAAATGAAATCCTTGACAACTTCAATCTTTTTTCTGTTTATCATGGTGTTGCTTATTGGTCCAGTTGTGAGGATTTTCATTTTCCTTATGTTAGGATGTAATCCATAGTGAAGGCATAGTTGTTGATCTTCATCAGTAAGTGCTTCAGGGGAGTTTAAAATTTAAATATATTTTTTATTAGATAAATAATACAATGTTTGAGGAAACATTTAATAGAATAAACAATCAGCTTACAACTATTTTCATTTTTGAGTATTTCTTCACATTTTTGGATCATACAAATCCTATTTCCATAGCCATAATAATTGTACATAATATTTGTAATTTTTAAGTTATTAAACATTTCATATTTATATGGTCTTGAAAATTAAAGTAGCACCTATTATAAAAGAAACATCTGTTACAGAAGTAAACCTCATGTTAGTTGAATTCTTTTTGTACATTTAAAATATGGCAATATTGAGGATTTTTCCTCTTTTATTCTATTAATTTTTCTAATATTGATTTACTTTTGCATTTCTGAGATATTCAATTTAATCCTTATGTATTAACTTTTTTATGTTCTGTTGAATTCAGTTGGCTAATATTTCATCTAAAGTGTTAATTCTGCATTCATAACTGAGATTAACCTATAATTTTTCATTCTTGTATTTCTTTCATTTGAAGTGATGTCAAGATTTTATTGTCCACATAGAATTAATTAGGGAGTCTTCTTTTTTTTTTTTTTTTCTCCTACTGTCTTGAAGAAGACCTTTATAAGATTGGAATGATTAACTCCTGTCGAGTTTTGT